ATAAACATCTTGTTAACACTCTAGTGGCTGCAGGTTTGATCCAAATATTCTAGAAATTTGTCAGTAAAGTTGTTTTAATGATTTCTAGTTTTTATATGGGTTATCTTGGGTAAAAACTATCTCACATAAACTAGGTCACATAAGCTAAAAATAGAAGAATCTTGTTAACACTCTATTGACTGCTTTTTTATCAAAATATTTTGGAAATTGGTAAAAATAACTGTTTTGATAATTTCTAGGTCAAGTTCGAATAAGAGTTGTATCGGGTCAAAATCTAGGTTACAGGAGCTAAAAATGGAACAATTTTGTGAACTTTCTAGTGGCTACTGTTCGTTCATTATTCAAATATCCTTGAAATTGATCTGAAATTTTGTTTTAATTATTTCAAGGTCAACATCGAATATGGGTTACCTGGGGTCAAAAATAAGATCACACTGCCCAAATATGTAAAAACCTTGTTAACACTAGATGTAACATTGACGTAATTGTCATCAAACTTGGCCAGGATGCTTGTCTTAGACATTGCTCGTATGAGGTTGATGTGTCAGGGGAGCGATCTAGGGCCATCTTGATCCTAAACTTTTTAATAAAACCCACATGTGTGTGATAGTTTGAGGAGTGGTGGATTTAAAAAAAAAGAAATGAAAAACATAAAAATAAAAGTTTCATCATCATTAACATCATCATCTTGTCATCATGATCTTCTCATCATCGTCATCAACAACATCATCGTCATCGTCGTCGTAATCATCCTTATCATCATCATCTCATCATCATGTCATCATTATCATCATCATCTTTGTTGTCGCTGTTATATTTTTAGTAAAATGACCTTTTACCTGTGTATTTAAAACCGAATGTCATTATCTCATTCGGTTTCAAACATGTGATATGACATAAATTTCACCTACATTTTTACATCGAAAAACATCAGATGTTTTTCAATATTTTCAACATCTTAAAAGATATCTTAATAGTGAAAAAAATGGAGTGGAATGGTCTATGTAAGTGCTACCGTTTCATTCCGACGGTTTACATTTTATTAACTATCCTTAGTTTTCTTCAGGCTGCTAGGCTGCTAACTTCGAAAGCGTCAGAATGAAAACAAAAGGTTCAATATCTTAAATAAAAGATCACAATATTTAAAAAGGCGTGGAATGGTGTCATTGATGCATTGCCGACCTTTGTCTTGTTTTAACTATTTTAGTTGTTTTTTTAGGCTGCTAGCCTAAGGATGCTAGTCTGCCAATTTTAGGCTGTTAGGCTGCCAACTTTAGGAACATTAAACATGAGACCCTTTTCAATATACTGACGATGATGATGACAATGATGATGTTGATAGTGATATACTTATGACGAAGGTGATGTTTCTTTTTCTGATTTTGACTTTGATGACGAATTGATGACATTTATCATGATGATATAAATAAATGATTATGATGAGAAGATTTTTACTTTAAATGATGACAAATACGTCAAAATGGGGGCATATTGACAAATACAAAGCCCGTTTGTTTGGATCTATATTAGTTGCAATGGCGGCAAGGTTGCAAGGTTTCGATGAATAAAGCTCTCAGGAGAGCTATATTTGTGGACAGCTATATGCGTCGCAACAGGTCAGAAATGAAAGACCATTGTAAGTTTGTATAAAGACTAGACAGTCAACGTTTCTTCACACGAGCTTATCTTACACATTCCCTTTTCCCATACACTTATGAATGTAGGTTATCATTAATCGTGAATATTGTCATCTATATTCACTCATAATTGTCCTAAAATTAAATTCTATATATGCGATTTCGTCTCAAAAGAACACGTGCCAAGTACTTAATAGCAAGTAACAGATAACACAATTATAAGGAAGAAACGGTCCCAAGCAACATCATTATACAAAATTTAATTATCTTCCATCTCATCATTGCCGATTACACGTTTATTTTACTTTGCATAAGACTTAATCAGAGCTTTTATTGTATGAATTGTTTCCATCGAAAAGCAAACAACATAACAAGTATATTTGTTTGCAATTTTTAAGAAGAATGATAGCAACACAATGAATTGTTAGAAAAAAATGAAATGTTCAGTTTCCGCACTCATTCTTTTGTAGAAATGTGTGAATAAAGTTATGTGTAGGTATTTAACCAGCAAAAACAAGTCAATTTTAGAATTTGGTTTTGGTTTGATGATTTTTGAAAAGTTATCCTATTGTTTAACATTGAAAAAAAAAATCTGTATCCGCTTTTGTAGGAATGTATGTCCGAGGTTGACATTGCACGTGCTGCTATTTAACCAGAAAATACAAGTCAAGTTTTTATGTGGCCATGCTCCGATGGTTGTTGACAGTTTTGCCCATTGAACTTGGAAAAAAATTACAAAAGCATAATCTCGTCTACAAAAAATGCAAATTGCAATTTGCAAAAGATTCACACTGAATAAGTGCATGGCCTTGGACTTTGTATAAAAATAGTTTGCGTTAATATTTAATAGTTTAAGGGTATTGGAAACAAAATTGGAAATCAATATGATTATAACATTCGAAGTTGTGGCTGCTTGCAGAGGCATTCGTGACGTTACGACAAATTTTTGGTTAGCAACTTAATTTACTGCACACAATTTTAAATAAGAAATATAAAAGCTGACATCAGCGCCGTGAAAATCGGATATCTCTACATATATTTTATGCAGTCAAGGGAAAACACACGCCTGGTAAATGATAGAGCTAACTCTATCGGAGGTATACGGTAAATCGCTTTATCGCTACTTCCGAGTGAGCTAGTTCATGTCGCTAAAATTGTGGTGGTGTTTCCCAGTTAGCGAATTCAGCGTTGAAATGGACCGTCTCATCATGAAACAGATTTTTTGTCCTCAAAATTTCATCTAAACGGCGTTTTGGATTAAAAACAAATATGTTTCAAGTAGATATAAGGTCTAGAGATGAAATAAGATTGAAATCAGATCAAAACATAACCTAATTAAGAAAATATTGGATATTTGTTCTTGGAGACAGCTCTGTCGTGAAGGAGGTAGTCACGCCAAGGAGATAGCTCTATGGTTACATACAAAGTGCCTGATTGTGTATTTTATTCATAACTTTTATCACGACACAAAAATTTAATAAAGTCAATATTATACTAATGTTATTACTTTACATGTATATAATGGCATAATTTGCATAATAAAACATTAACATTTACAGCGTATTTACATATTTATTTTTATCTGAATCGCTGTTTAAATTGGAGGAAAAAATATATGTTTCATTATGAAACGGTCCATTTCAATGCTGAATTCGCTAACCGGTAAACGTCGCCACAACTACATTTCAAACACAATTATGACAACTTTACGTTTTCTTGAAACTTCAATCAAATCTTCATCGCATAGCATTTTCTGATTTTCGGTATTTTGTGCAGAATTTACAAAATATATAAAAAGTAAAAACACTTGACACTTGATTTTAGCGACATGCACTAGCTCGGAAGTAGCGATAGGGCGATTTACCGTATACCTCCGAAAGAGGTAGCTCTATCATTTACCAGGCGTGAAACAGGATGAACACGTTAAAGGTAGACGTATTTGCCTATCGCGTGTGAGGTTATAAATTTCAATAAGATAATTTTCGTATAACTCACTTTTATAGTTATAAGTGTTCCTTCCGTCTTTTAAAATTTTTCTACACCAATTGAACCTACTTCAACACGTAAACAGCAATGTATTGCCCTCTCACGCAAAGCATGATAACAGGTTAATGCACCTGCGTAAAGCGTGCTAAACATGTATATGAGGCTTATGTAACAGACATATCTTATCACTCGTAAGAGGACTTTCCTGTCAGTTGTTCACAGGCGCTTTCGTATTTCGGAAATAAATCATGATACAGTCGGTCAATTTGGTGACGTTGTTTTGTGGTGAGTGGAGGTTTCAATAGCAATTTTTGAACTATATGATTAATAAAGTGTACCTTTTGAATGTTATAGGATTATATGGTCTTTGGTTTCTATTCATGAATAAAATATATAAAAGGTAAAGGAAATATATCTAGATTTCAAAAAATAACAAATATGTTTGAATAATCAAGGAAGATTACTATTTAAGAAACTTGTCTGAAAAATACCCTCAGAGGTGAACTTTTGTAACTGTTAAGTGCTTCATTCAACACAAGGATATTTCATTAGAATTGTTACCGTCATTAATTGCAGACACCCCAGGTATGTTTAATGTATTTCCTTTGCAGAAATGCGTGAATTTTATTGTCCAGAATATCAATTTGATATTTATAAATTAGAGGAATATTGTGAAGTATATATAACCTTCACAATTTTTTGGATATTACTTATAACTAGTTATGATATAGATGGATTCATACATTGTAAGTTTCATACTATCAAATTAAAAATGTGTTTCAACCTTAAAGCAAAGACGCCTAAAATGCCCTGAATAACAATTATTACAACTGAAATAACCAAATTGACTCCGTGTGACAAGTATTTTGATCTGAAGATGTCCAAGCACGCACTCTGCACATTCATTGCTATGTATTTTTCAACATTATCCTTCAATCGGTACAGACCAGACATGAAATTTTGAACTTCATGTATTATAAATGTGTGTAGTATTATAAATGTGTGTGTGTGTGCCACACCTGGATCTGCACCAAGCAGTTTTATTTTCCTTCCATCGGTTCAAACTAACGTTGAGGACATGTAGTTGCTAATAACAACCGGACGATTGACGACCAGATGTATATCCTGAAATTATTCCGGGTCATGGTCAAACAATTCAATATCTAAACATACTATATCTTGTTAGCGTATGTATAAGCCGTGTCGATACATACAATATGTAGATAAATGATAATAAAATAAAATTTAAAAAATAATAATAATAATTATTATTTTTATGATAATAATAAAAATGATAATTGAATATACATTATGACATTTTCATTCACTTCACTGTTTCTATTTTGTTTTGCAGCTAACATATTTTTTTCTCTGCAGTGTGTATGCTTGCTTATACAGTATATTCTGAGGACTGTACGACCACTCAGAATTGTAAAGATTCTGGCGCAACCAAATGCCTAACAGGTTACCACGTGGTTTGCCAACACCCTGCTGGTAGTGGGGTAGTGACTGATGGTGGGAAATGCACATGTGCTGTTGACGACATAAGTAAATTTTCTAAAGATTTTCTTTATATTATAACAAGTATTTATAGAGAAATAAAATGATGCACATAATTAAACCATTGGTATAGATTTAGAGGATATTTGATTATTTTATTTCTTTTTATTTATGCTCAAAGACAAATTAATGAAATTTCCTCAATATTAATTTTAAATTTGTTTTCCCCAAAAGTAGCCTCAAATTAGACGAATTTTTTTATAAATTATACAAGAAGTCTTGAGCTGTAAAAATAAGATCAGGAATCACCGTTTAATGGAGATGATATCGATTTTGATATTTTTTTTCATTTAAAAATATGAATGATCGCTTGTTTAAATAATAAAAACAATAAGAAAATGTAGTAGAAAAATATCACGCCATCCAACTTTATTTCCGTGAAATATGGCGAATTTATAACACATTTACTTTGGTAAATCAGCTGTGAATCAGTCTAGTAATTCGACTGTTTATAAAATAATTTAAAACACTAAGCAGGTTAAAATCTATCAGTGCGTATTTATAAATACGTATTTATAGACTTTAACCAATATAAAGTGGTCGCCATTCGTAAAATAAGTGTATTTCACGGGAGGAAAATAATTGTGTTTGATTCAGAGAGATAACATTTGGATTTGTTATTCATACATCTTTTTATAAGAAAAAATCTAATTTGAGGACTGTTACAGACAAAAAATATTGTTGACAGATGTGTAAACATTCAAAAAGCGGCTAGGAATTTGGAAAACATGGAATCGTTGAAAGGCTGTCTTACGAACGCTGGGTTGTTTACTTATTCCCTGGGCTGATGACTGGCACTGCTTTTCAAGTTATCATATTGCATAAAGCATAAAGCAGTTATTGCGCGCAGTGTGCTTAGATATGTCCAGATTTCATTAAGAGCAGTTTTGCATGAGGAAGGAAATATATTTTCTCAGATTGTCAAAATGAAAGATTTTTTTATTTGGTTTCCATTAAAAGTTACGGCAATCAGAAAACGTATGTAAAAAGATTGAATTATGTTTCTACCAAAGACAATTCAGTACAATGTATGTGTTATGATATCACATTTAATTTATCTGACAGTGGAACATTAGTGTTTACTTTTCACAGGCTCTGTATTGGATTAATCGAAACTCAGTTTAATTTGAACATTGATTTTCTATTAAACTAATTTCTGAAAACATCAATGTTTATAAATATTAATAACATAATGCACATAACATAAAGTTGTAAATTATGTATATATCAACATAAAAACCAGCTCCTTAGATATGTATATATCAGTGATCTGTTAGTGCTTAACTTTTCCACTTGTCTTACTTAATCCTGTCATAATTAGAGAGTCACATTTTGATCCGTTCTATTTATGATCATACAATGACCAAACAAATATCTTAAAGAAATATCTACAGATCACGATTTGTTAGAATGTTAACTTGATGTGATGATTTGTGTGCCACAAATGTTTTTTTCAATGTTTCATAAATGTTACTATTCTATTTTTCATTGTTTTCTTTGTAGCATGCTTAACTCAAGCCGATTGTATAGCGCTGGACCTTGAAAGCTATGTTTGCATCAGTGATGGCCACAAACACTGTTATGACAATAAATGTATCTGTACCAGGTGGTAAAAGCGTAAACATGTACCCAGAATGAAAATAAATACTGTCTCTCCTACATGAGTTCATTATTTTAATGACGTCCTGTCAAGTTACATGTAATGTTTAAATTGTTGAGAAAATAGCCAATAACGTTGGAATGTTTGTTATCATAACATGGTTTATTGACGGAGTATTTTTATAAGATAAGAAAGATAAACAACTTTCAGTTCACCTCCAATGCATGCAAACAAGCACGTAACGTACACATTTCGTCAAGATAAACAGATTTTGCCGAAGACTTTGACAGATTTGGCACTTTATTTACCACCAATGTGTTTTAAGATTATTGTAATTATGTAGATCATAATATACATAAAACGTCTTGCAACCTTAATTATTTTAAAGCTTATAGACCTTTTTACGACGCGACGTGTTTCTATGCAGAACTGTAAAAGAATGAAAACATATTTAATAGCTTTTACAGCATCTTTTTTACCCTCCCCCAAAAAAGCAAAGAAGCGTTGTGGCCATAAAACGAATGGTATAGAGGAGGAACTATTTTTCAGAATTTTCCCTTGCCCACGTTGGATATGAAAATCGTTGTAATTATTTGAAATAAGTTTTTTTATTTTATGATATTTTTTTTAGTTTGTGGCCCAGCTGAATTAAAATTTCTTGATACTTTAATAATATATAAGCCGCAAATAAGCCGAAATTTTAATATGTTTTTGTTTATTTGGTGTCCTAACAGCCTAAGCTTCTAGCACAGTTCAGAATGAATTTAAACACAAGGTTTTTAGTGAGGTTCTAGAGACATTTCCCGTCAGTTAACGCTATTACGTGTTAACTACATATAGTAGTTCAATAATATAACAAGTGTAGTGTGCAATTATAGCCCTTGTATCGCTCACCTGATTATTAACTTAAAGGTGAGTCATGCATGAGTGATTTTGTCTGCAATTTATAATTTTTCCTATCTCAGAATCGGTAAAAGATAGATGTATATAATAATACATTTTCTGTTTCTACTCACAGAGATCTTTCAAATGATATATAAATCTAAGGGCTGTATGGTTTTTGAGAAAATGGTTTAAAAATCGCTGAAGGGTAATAACTCGAGATGGCTTGAAATCAATCAGTAACCTTGGGTTTATTTTAAAGAACTTCAACAAATCTATCAATTGAAGCATTTTATTTTTTGAAAATTGATAAAAGACAAAATGGCACTTTTTCTAGATACATAATATCAAAATTTATCCATTTGAGCCTTTTAATGTTCATTTTGAAGAGTTTATAAATCAAATAAAAAGAAGCATATTTTCATTTCTGTATCGCGGGTCGGGGGAACCAAATCCTAAACATAAAGGCGTCTTTCGTCCTATTCTGAATGAAAACTCACACAAAGATTAATTTTGACTTTTAAATATAAATAGACGTATCCCATGTCAAAAGTTTATATAACTGATATATTAAACGGCCCAAAATAAATCAATTTTAATATATAAAAAGTAGATTATAAATTTACAACAGACACGTATGAAGAAAATACAGAAATCACTATATCCAATGAATATCGATGGTACTAAAGAGTTGTATTATAATTCCATATATAACATTATATTGAAAGTAATTATCGTAGATTATTTCTATTTCATGTGTGACTTTTGATATTCTCCAGATGCTGTATTACCTTTTCATAAGAGAATCGATGTTACAAAAGAGAGGTATTATAATTCAAACTGTGTACATTAAATAGTGATCATGTCTTATCAGTGGTCACTTTTGATTTTCTCAAGATGCTGCATTTACATAACAAACTATTTAAATGCCAATTGAAAGGCTATTTCTTCAGTCGTTATATCCTTAACATCGACAGTTAAATGATTGTTAAATTACTCGATAACAAAATAAGATATGTCACTTAAATTTTTATTAAATTGAATATAAATTTCATTGTTTCATCCAAACCATTGCAAATAGTCATATTTATTATACAGTCATGTATGTGTCATGTCAGAAAATTTAATGTTTGCCTTAATTAAGAACGATACTTATATTAATTATATTTATCTGTTTGTCTTTCTTTTTTCTAATTGCGTAACAAGCTGTTTTTAATTATGCAGCCTTGCACTACATTTTCCCCGCTACATTGTCAGTGAAAATCAAGATGATTATCACAAAGTTATAGTTTACTATTCTTCTATGGGTTTCGTTGTAAGATTTGCATTTTTTATCAGCTTTCGTATTATGTAATCCATATACGTACTGTAAACTACTTCGAGTAATCCAAGAAAAAGAATAACAGAACATTTTGTAAATAATGTTAACCTTAAAGGTGCTTATACAATTTACGACGACAAATAATAAAATGGACCTTATTAAGAACAAAAGGAAATAATAAATATCTCAAAAAAGTTCAGCGTGGCACTATATTGCCTGGGATTGTCCAAATATTATATTTTTCTGCATTTTTTACCTCTAATAAAGTTTGATGTGTCAAAGGACTATTACAATCATACAATTGACAAATTTTAAAATAGTTGTCTGCAAACTCTGCCACAAGAAACTTGGAAATACGTTTTATTTATTATTATTTAATAAATATTTATTGCACGAAATTCATATTTAAATTGCTTTTCATCGTTAATGTGTAGCTTATAACGCGGCTTGTTTTGATATCTGCTGTTGCTTTTAAATTTATACACTCAAGGGTAGCCAGAATCATTGTTCCTGTTTCGGCGCCATATGACCTACATCGTGTTCGTAGATTATTTAACTATTAATATCGTAGTTTCTATTTTCTTTTTTTCCTTTTATTCTCTTCCTTAAAATGTCTATTGATTAAGTACTTTAGCGGAAGGTGAAACATTAATATTTTTGCGATTAAAGTTGTATCGGCCGTTTATAAAACACTTTAACTATTCTCAGACGGAGTAAAAGACATAAAACAACAGTAACACTCTTAAGGTATGTTTAATCTTAAAAATAAGAAATAAGATGAAGACCTATTCAATCTTATTTGAAGGTTATATCACAGTATAACGGGTTGCATATTTAGGTGAATAGAAATGAAGCTCCACAGACTAATGTCTATTTGACAACTCATATAATAAAAAGACATGACATTTAATTTAAATTGAAAAGACATTACATCATTTTAAATAGAAATAAAACACTCTCTTTGCCAATGTGACATGACGGATTATTGAGCAAACAGTGTATATGACAAAGTTCGTCCAGCAAATCAATCATTTGATAACGTTACTATGAGTGTTAGCAGGAGAAAATAATTCGACATATACTCTTTTAATAAACATTTCATACTGATATTGAATGGTTTAAATAACTTGTTGTTTATTTTGAAATCAGTGTTTATTGGAATATTTCAACAGAATTTTGTTTGTTCCCTTTGCATTTGTAATTTTACACCATTGTACAATGGCAATGAAACTTTACGCGTTTTACCGAGTAATTAAATGGAATATAGACAAGCTCTCCGGAACGTCTGCATGGTAAACACGCATACACAATAGTTAGGCTGAATAAACTCGGTTCTTCCACTTGTCACTTTGCGACATGTTGACATTTTGATAAACGCCCCTTGTGTCACACATCAAAGACTTATTATCTTACTTAAATTAAGCTTTAACCTAAGTATATTACAAAGAGACAAGCAAGTCACAGTTGACTCAACTGGTACCTGGAACAGAACATAAGGAAATGGGGTAAGGACGTTTAAAAACACTCACACAAATGCACAATAAATAAATTAATTAATTAAAACATAAAAAAACACATTCAACATAACAAAAAAGAAACAAAAATAAAGAGCATAGCAACTAAGTGAAATTAGGATTTATTCAGTCTCATAGAGTTGTTTGGCTGTTCAACTGATTCTTTCAGGAATTTATTATCAACCCTACTCGGTCCTGAAGTTATCATCTTATGTTTAATATTTTCCCTTATGCATAATGATTGTATCAAAAATTCCCTTTTAAGACTGAAAACCAAAATTTTCCAGCGTCCTGCAGTCAGTCAATATCTAAAATTAGATTTATTTCTCATTATATAGTCATTAACGGCTTTGTTACATAATTATATTAAGACAGCATGCCTAATTACAAATTTAATCATTTGTCATTAAGAAAAGGCTCTATCTCTGGCATTTTAAGCCTGTAAATTCTCCACTTGAATTTAAATTTAGATAAATTACATGAATGCTCGTTAAAATACCTGTGTATTCTAGAGAAAAAAGTATTTGAAACATGTCAACAAGGGAGCGGTGAATTTTATTGATTGGCGTATGTCGTTAATATTACCAGGAATAATCTGGATATAATATATCTTCTACATTTTTGTTAAGTCCATTATGCATTTTTTTCCTAAAATTAACACCGGCTGCGACAAGAATTATGTAGTCATATTTTTATTAATTTCTTGGAATTTTTGTTACATTGGCAAAGTAAATGTTGAAAATTCCATTATAGCCATCAGCACATGTTTCAAAATTCAAAATTTTACCAATTCATGTTAAATGAATTCTGCTAGCCGGTGCTTGGGGGTGGATCATTACCCTCCATTAACAGGCTCAGTCATACCGAGCCGGCAATAGTTTTCAATTTTGCCGTGTTGGACTTTCTTCCGGAATTCTTTTTTTGCTCTATATTTTCAATTAGATATTTAAGCGTCGTTTAAAACCTGATCTGTTGCGAAGATCTTAATATGCTGCGCCTTGAGAATAATTAGATAATTTGTGTTTCACATACGATAATCATTTCTCGTTGTTTCATTTAACAAAACATCCCAAAGACACTGTTTGTCAATCATGTTACATTTAAATGGCTCTTTTTCGTTTTTTTTACGATCCTTTTAAAATATAAGGCTTATAAATTGATGTTAATGATGACGACATTTTGTCTAAAATAATGAATGTTTAACTGCGTTTTAAAACAACGTATTTCCATTGTTAATGCGATATGTGTACTACAATTTACGCTTACTTTTAAATGGCATTCATGTGTTACTATTAAAATACATGTAGTGTCCGTTAAAAGGAACATACTTCTTAAACTACTT